TCAGATTCAGTAAGCACGTATCTCAAAACATAGCTATGAAATTTTACGTTTTGTAATGAGCATTTTTCATATAAACAGTAAATGAGAACCTGTAGATATAAGTCCAATTCACTAAAATGAAGTATGTAAACACATGGATTTATATCTTAACTCAGTGTTTAGGCAGCACATACCTAAAACAGATAACCCTCAGCAAACATCTGTTCTGTACCATAAGCTGACAAATTGAAGAACAACTACTTGTCCAATCTTAATGATATTTTTCCTTACCAGAATAACAATTCATTTAGGAAGCACTTAGCAGAATTACTAAAATAATGAATGTAAAATGCTAAGAAAAGCATGAATTCTAGTAATTGCTAATTGTCACCATATTTCTCATTATCAAGTCTTTTTGGGGGATTGACTCATCTTGAGATATTAATTTATTTATCAAATTTACTTAAGTGCTCATCTACACATGTGATATATGATCACTGACAATTCTGAAAATTTTAGTCTCGGGATTTAATAAACTGAGGGCCAAATGTTCTGAGCTGTTCTGCTCCAAATGTAACACCTTTGGGGAGTTGATATGGAAGCTCTAAGACAGAGGTGTTCAAACTTGGCAGCTTTAAGACTTGAGGACTTCAACTCCCAGAATTCTCGGAGTTGAAGTCCACAAGTCCTAAAGCTGCCAAGTTTGAAGACCTCTGCTCTAAGATTTATTTTAGAAAAATAAAAATATGTTTACAGATGCAAATAATCTGTGTATGGACAAGTCCAGTGATTCTCAAACCTCTGCTGGAGGATTATCAGGTTATCTTCTGCAGCTGCCTGACTCTTACAGGCCGGAGCCTGAGGGCAGCTTCACCCTTTTCCCTGCCATGCTGACAGTCAGATGATAAGATTGGGCTTTTTGCCTCAGCTTCAGGCCCTGTGCACACCCATGGTCAGCTGGCATCAGCCTGATCCTTTCACTCAGCCCCACTGAGGAACCGCCCTGCTGATCAGTTGATTCATGATGATAGATCACTGGTGGAAAACTAATTCATTGCAAGTTGCAAGTTGCAACGTGAGTATGCTCCTCTCCACTTTTCCTTAAATAAAACAGCAGAACAGTAATTAATAGGGTTTTGAAAATGAGATTGAGGACTGCTTTACTCACATCCAGTGTTTCTATGCCATCTGAAAAGATTCACTTACACTAGCATAGACTCATGTCCCAAAACTAGTGGACTCTGGTGATTCTGGTGCGATGGGATGGCATCAGATTCCCCATGTGTCATTCCATGCATTAGGCCAAGGGCAGATAACAATTATCCACTAAGGACTTTAACACACGTCAACAATGATCAACATGAGTTCAGTAATAAGTGTGAGAAAGATCTTGGAGTCCTAGTGGATAAAATAAATATGAGCCAGTGGCAGTCCTAGGCTGCATTAACAGAGGGATAGAATCAAGACCACACGAAATGTTAATGCCACTTTATAATGCCTTGGTAAGACCACACTTGGAATATTACATCCAGTTTTGATTGCCACAATATAAAAAAAGATGTGGAGGCTCTAGAAAGAGTGCAGAGAAGGGCAACAAAGATGATTAGGGGACTGGAGGCTAAAATATATGAAGAACCGCTGCAGGAAGTGGGTATGTCTAGTTTAATTAAAAGAAGGACTAGGGGTGACATGATAGCAATTTTCCAATATTTAAGGGGCTGCCACAGAGAAGATGAGGTCAACCTATTCTCCAATGCATCTGAAGGCAGGACAAGAAGTAATGGATGGAAATTAAACAAGGAGCGAGCCTAGAACTAAGGAGAAATTTCCTGAAAGCTAAAGCGATTGATCAGTGGAATGATTTGCCTCCAGAATTTGTGGTTGCTCCAACACTGGAGGTTTTTAAGAAGAGCTTGGACAACCATTTGTCTGAAATGGTATAGGGTTTCCTGCTTGAGTAGGAGGTTAGAATAATAATAACTTTATTGTTGCTTTAAATATACACTAATCGGCATACATTAAAATGAAATTTCGTTGCATACAGCTCTCAAAGGGTCACCACCTCCAATATACACTACCTAAGCATGACAAAATAAATAAATTGGTTGGCTATCAGACTCCAAGGTCCCTTCCAACACAGTTGTAAGATATTGACAAAGCTGTAGCCCTAAATACCAAAAATATAACCAAAATACTACGTAGCTCTATCTTTATTGTAAAGTTAAACTAACATAATCTTGCAAGACTGAAAGTATCTTCCCCCGCCTTTCCTTTCACTTTCTGGAGAACTAGGGAGAGTCCCGCCTGAAATGATTCCCACACCTCTCTCTTCCTTCTGTGAGCTGAGAGCTCTTTTACATCTGATTGGTCCAGTCTGCAGCTCTCCTATCTGTCTCTCAAAGTGATTCCCACATACCATTACAATGCCTCTTTTTACTTCATTCAGTAGTGTTATGCAATGCAATTGCAATAGCTTCTACCTTACCAATTAGGATGCACCTCAATGTCACACATGTTAATTACCTGTTTGCAGGGACCAAACTTCCTAAATTGTAAGGGAGGAAATAATGGAAAGGGAGAAGCAACAAGCAAAGAGAGCTGCACTGAACACTTTTCCCATGGCCAGGCGTCCCCTCTCCTCAAATATTTTCTCCCACAGCATGGCACACAGACTTCTGGGAACTGTTCCTAGGTAAGGCACAGTTAGTAGTATATTAGTACAGTGACGATCTGTTCCAAGGCATTTTTCTTCCGGTGGAGACCATATATACCCAGTATAAAACAGCACAAGAAAAATTAAATACACTACAGAAAAATTGTGGCAAAAATCTTGAAAATCTGTCCAACCAACAAATATTTGCATTGCAATTGCAACAGTCAATGTATCATCAGGGTACAAAATCCGGTGTGATAGCATGTTAATTTAATGAGCAAAACCCATTTTATAATATAAATTGGCTGCTTTTATTATTGGCCAGATGTAATGGTATATGAGAAAGACCTGGGGAAACTGGGTGAGGAGACGTTGCCAAGGGAACTGACAGATAAGAGACAGCATAGTCAGCAGCTGTATAGTGGGCGGGGCAAGAGGCTCAGAAGAGACTATCCCTAGTTTCTTAGGCCGTAAAGGAGAGAGTGGGAGAATTATACTTTCCAACTTGCAGGAGTCTGTCAGTGTAGCTTTACAATAAAGTAGAATTAATTTATTTGGTTGCGTTTCCTGTCTGGTCTACTGAGTATGGATAAAATTAATCTTGGAAATTTGAAAGTACAATTCTCCCTTCTTCTCCTTTACAGACTCAGAAACTAGGGAGGGTCCCTTCTGAGCCTCTTGCTCCGCCCACTATCCCACTGTGGGCTATACTATCTCTTATTTTACTGTTCTGTTGGTAATATCCCTGGCCCAGTCTCCCATAGTCTTCCTCACATACTAGTACAGGCAGAGGTGGGATTCACTTACCTTTCCTACCGGTTCGCAAATGTGAGCACACACCCTTCTGTGTATGCGCAGTAGTTGCACATTACGTCTCGGTGGGACAGCCTCCCGCAGTCGCTGCTACCAGTTCACGCAATCTGAACAGAACTAGCTGAATCCCACCACTGAGTACAGGAAACATCATACTTTAAAGTAATATGAAGTAAGCTATAAGCCCATCTATTTAATTAATTTTACACCATTTCTACAAGTTTCTCTGTCTCAGAGGTTCTCGTTGCAGTTCAAACCATATTAAGAGTTCATAAATATGGAGATTTCTAACAACAGCTAACAACTTCAAATAGAAAATCATTTCATCTAGAAAAATAGCAGGAAAGGAGATGTTTCATGAATATTTAAATGGAAACAGCTTTTTAAATCTTAAATATAATTCACTGAAGTCTTGTAATTCATAACATACATTTTAGGAGCCATATTCTGATTTTAAGTGAATGCAGTACAGGGTTAACCTTTCATTGTAATAATAGCAACATGCTTCAGGAGATAATTTGGAATTGTGATATTCCAAGTGATAACGAGAAAAGAGCAGAGTGAAAATTCAAAAGGGACACAACAGACTATTTTTTCTCCTACACACCTGTACATATCAATCTGGGCAAAAACACATAGGAAGCCACCTTAAGGCAGAAAGAGGTATGAGGAACGTATGTTCTGCTTCGGTTCAGCAACACATAAGATAAGAAACTTGCAAATTATCACAAATGTTGAGAGAATGAAATGAGATCTGGAAATAGCTCACAGAGATTCCATATATTCTTAATTTGTGTCTTCCCAACAGAGACAGGCTTTTATTCTTGCCTCTGTGTTATCATTAAAACCTATTTACAAGTATGATGAAGATTAAATATGAAAAGTGTAGATTGTAGGTCTGCCCAAACAATAACTTCCGTTAACCAGAATGCAACATATGATAGCACATGGTAAATTAACCAAATTATTATAAGATAAAAATTGAGAAGCAGCATCCTGCACACACACCAAAAATAAATTCTATAGGAAAAGTAACCCCATATTTGGAATTAGTTAATAATACATTCTTAAATGCTAAGGTATATCAAAAAAAAAAAAAGTCTAGGTCTCAAATAGTACCGAGATTGATGTCACTACTATGAATAATAAAATTGTCTCTTGTTTAACTTTACCCAACTAATCGGGGATTGTGAATGTTTAATGATGACCACAATGCTTGAGGAGGCTTGCAAAGGTGTTTCACATTTTGCTTCCCTATGTGATAGCAAGTTCAGAGGATGAATATACAACATGTGTGTTGTTATATCTATATGTAGCACCATACATTTGAAATCATTTGAAAGATCTAACCAAAATCCATGATAATGTTAAAAACATGTGCAACAAGTGATTGACTTCGGGGTATTTTTTTAACGCTTCAGCAGAAAGTTAAACCACTGGGGCCGATCCCATTATCCCCTTGGTCTTCTGATTTGACACCGATCTGATGACCCTAAAGAGAGCTTAGACAGACATGCAATCTCTTATCTCAAGTACGAAAGACGGTACTACTTACTCTGGAGTGGCAAAACAGCTTCTCGGCATTCATGTCAGCTTGGAAAGCTTCCTGGGTGAGAAGAAAATAAAAAGCTGGTGTTGATCAGATTGTTTCAGATCCCTTGAGTTAAATCCAGAGGGAAAGTGTGTGACTGACCCACAGGAAGGCTCCAGGAAGGAACGCAGCCCCAGGCAGAAAGGAAAATCCATAGGCTTCGGAGGGGCTTGGGAGTTTCAAGCCTGAGACCGGCAGCTAGTCAGCTCTGTGGGAATCACGACGACTCTATGAACTTGTATGCTTTTTTTTTTCACTGAAGGTGGAGCCAGAATTGCAAAATCCATGTTCCTTGCTGCAGGCAAAAAAAAAAGAAAAAGAAAAAAGAAAAGAAAAGAAATCTTCAGTATGCAAAATGTCCAGAGCCTGACAGCTTTACAAGGTTACAAAGGTACAGATCATAAAGCTGTAGCCATGAATATATATATATATATATATATATATATATATATTTAAAGCTGTGGTTTTACATTCTTAAGCGCATGTGTTTACATTCAAGCACAGAAGAGAGGTTTGGGTGTGTTTTTTAAAGTAAACTCGACTTTCTATTCTTTCCATACAAAAGGGCTTACACAGATCTTGCTATGAAGTGTAGCAATTCAAATCCTTTTCTTTCTTTCTTTCTTATTCTTTTCGTGACAGTGATTTTTGCGTGCCAATCGTAACGGTGAGAAAGCAAGAAGGGACAAGATGGGTTTCTGACAGACTTCATAAAATTTGGTTAGGAGGAGAAGAAAAAAAAAAAAAGCCCCAGTGCTGAGTGTTGAAGCTATAGGTTTACATTTATTTACTATGACATTTCAGTTTCTACGGCTACCAGATCTGGGTTGCATAAATTCAGATGGCTACTAATACTTTGCTGTCGTCTGCTGAATGTTTGCAGCTCAGATCTGATAGCTCAAGAAACTGCTCTGTAACATAGCTTGGGCTGAGTATCTACCTATTAACTATTATACAATCGTCTTCAACTTAGAACCATGCATTTAGCAACCCCAGAATTACAACAGCACTGAAAAAAGTGACTTACAACCAGTCCTCACCCTTATGACCATAGCAATATCTCTATGGTTACATAATCAGAATCCAGGCTCTTGGCAACCAGCCTGATTTATGATGATTGTAGCCAGGGTTATGTGATTATCATATGCAACCTTCCCAGGCGGCTTCTGACAAGCAAAGTCAATGGGGAAAGCTGGGTTCAATTAATGACTGCATGGTTCTCTTAACAGCTGCAGTGATTCATTTAACAACCGTGGCAAAAATGCGTGTGACTCATTTTAACAACTGTCTTGCTTAGCGATGGAAATTCTGGCTCTAATTGTGGTTGCAAGTCAAGGACTACTTATACAGTGCTATTTTAGCTCTTATTTACGTAGGCTTCCCATAACCCATATTGTTAAGTTTTTTATCAGCATATACCCAAATTGTTGCATCTGATAATAATGATCTTTTTGAAGAGATCTCTCTTGCTATCCATTCAAATCAGAGGTTCTAAAACCTTGTGCATTCTTCCTTCAGTTGTACCTTCATCCCCATTCCTGTAATTTGTTTTTGGCATGTGGTGGGGTGGAAAGTGAAGAAGACTCTTAACACTTATTAGGATCAAGTTTGATACCACCACAGCAATCAGAACAATATGGTGGATGAAAACAAGATATGGTACTAGGAGCAGATCAGAGGTAACAACTAGACACAGGGACAGCTTCTTCCCTCATACTATCACTCTGCTGAACATCTAATTCTTACAGTGCTGTCTAATGTCTATGTATATTTACCCATGTAGTGTGGTTACAGTATTATTATTTAACATTCTTATTATCTTCTTTACTCTCCTGTTTTATTGGTATTTTTATTATGGTTTGTCGCATAGTCAGCCAGATGTTCAGACTGAATTTGGCATTTTTATTTACCTATTGAGTCTTTTCCAAGGACCTGGGATAGGCAGATCTGGATATTTTTATGGTGTTACAGATATTGTTGCAGGATGAAAGCTGTTCCAAATAAAGCTGCCTTTTGTAACTGACTGATGGTGAACTTGTCAATGCCGATGGTGTTCAAATGGTGTTTGGGGATTGCACCCAAGGCCCCTACTACTGTTGGTATTACTTTTGCTTGCTTTTGCCACAGTCTCCATCATTGACTATTGGGGGCGAGTCTTTGGCCCCCACTGAAAGGGCTCGCAATCTGGGAGTCCTCCTGGATAGGCAGCTGTCTTTGGAGGAACATCTGACGGCTGTTACCAGGGGGACCTTTTATCAGGTTCGCCTGATTCGCTAGTTGCGGCCCTTTCTCGATCGGGATTCCTTGTGCACAGTCACTCACGCCCTCGTCACCTCTCGCCTTGACTACTGCAATGCTTCCTACATGGGGCTCCCCTTGAAGAGCACCCGGAGGCTCCAGCTGGTCCAGAATGCAGCAGCGCGGGTAGTGATGGGAGCAACATGGTGCTCCCATGTAACACCGCTCCTGCGCAAGCTGCACTGGCTCCCGGTGGTCTTCCGGGTGCGCTTCAAGGTGTTTGGTTATCACCTTTAAAGCGCTCCATGGCATAGGGCCTAGCTATCTGCGAGACCGCCTGCTGCTACCGACGACCTCCCATCGACCCGTGCGCTCCCACAGAGAGGGCCTCCTCAGGGTGCCATCAGCCAAACAATGTAGGCTGGTGGTCCCCAGGGGGAGAGCCTTCTCTGTGGGGGCTCCCACCCTCTGGAATCAGTTGCCCCCGGAGATAAGGAGAATCCATGACCTCAATGCCTTCAGTCGTTCCCTGAAAACCCATCTTTTCCAGCAAGCCGGGTTGACTTAAGAAGAAATTTTTAAATTCTTTTAATCAGTCTGTGATTTTTTAACTTCCGGGCCAAAATTTATATATATTTTTAAATGTTTTAATATTTGTATTCTATGTTTTTATCTTGGCTGTACACCGCCCTGAGTCCTCAGGGAGAAAGGCGGTATATAAATTGGAAATTAAATTAAATTAAATTAAAGTCATTCTATTCTATTCTATTTCTATTTGTAAGTATTTGTATTTTGTTATCTTCTCCAGTTCTTTCTCTTCTCTTCTGCTGCCTTCAGATACTGCCAAATCCACAATCCAGAGGGGTGTTTTTTTTGTCTTTATCAAAAATTGTTAAGTCTAGGGTGTTGTGTGGCAGGTGCTTGTCTGTCTGACTTCTAAAGTCCTAGAGCAATTTAGCTTCTTCATTTTCTATAACTTTCTCTATTTTATGGTCCCACCAGTTCTTGCTTGCAGGCATATGATATTTCTTGCAGATTGATGATGATGGTGGTGGTTGGTGGTGGTGATAATGCTTTGCATGTACACTGAGTGCTTCTGTACCAGAGACAAATTCCTTGTGTGTTGAATCACACTTGGCCAAATGAGGACCCAGATTGTGGGGGCAATAAGCTGACTTTATATAAATATACAAAAGTATGAAGGCTATTGTTTAACGCATTGTAAGCCACCCTGAGTCTCCGGAGAAGGGCGGCATATAAATTAAAGCAAAATAATAATAATAAATAAATAAAAATAAAGTTCAATTCAATTCAATTTAAAGAATTTGGATCTTCAGATCCAAAAGTTTCTCTGTTCCCCAGATATCTCCATCTCCCTCCCTCCCTCCCCACACCTCTCTCTCACACTACACATAACCAATCAGGCTGTGGTGCTTTATTTCTGTTTTATAAGGAATGACAACCATTCAGGCATCAACACTTATGATGGATGACATCATTTCTCCTATGCAAGTGTGAGGAAAAAGTCAGTCAAATCAAATGGGCAGATTGCCTTGCATGGTAGTTCTCTATTTACTCCATAAAGATGTGAATTTATGGATACAGGATGCCAGAGGATTGAAGTATGTTGCGTCTACTTAAAAAAAAAAAAAAGAGGATGGGGTAATAACAGTTGGATGTTGATACCTTGCATAATTCTGGGACAAACAGTTAAGCAATCATTTTGTGAGCATTGAGAAAAGAATGTGTTGTCTAGCAAGAACCAGCATGGCTTTCTTGGGGACATGACATGCCAAACTAACTTGACCTCCTTTTTTGATCCAGTGATTAGTTTCATTAGCCCAAGGAATGCGATGGACATAGTGTACTTTGATTTCAGCAAAGCATTTGACAAAGTCTGCCATGAGATCCTAGTGCAGAAAGTAGCAAAATAGGAACTAGTCTGTGCTACCAATAGAGGGAAATAGAGTCGATAGAAGAAAATCACAATCTGATAAATGTATGCTCACATTTTGGGCTCCATTCTAGCCTCCAGGCTGTTCAACATATTTATAAACGAGTTGGTTGAAATATTACAAAATATGGTTATGAAATTTGCAGATGACACAAAGGGCAGGTGGCAAATGTCCTAGACCTAGATGGTTCATCAGGGTTCAGAAGGATCATTACAAGCTGAAACAATGCATTAAAAAAAATAGTAAAATGCTTAGGAAAAATGTTTGGGAAAATGAAAGAAATTACCATAGGCTGGAGAGATCCTACTGGGTGGCAGCACATGTGAAAAAGATCTAGATATTTTGGTAGATCACAAGCTGAATATAAGCCCACAGTGTGATTCAACTTCAAAACAATCACATACCACCATACAATAAAAGTGTAATGTCAAGTGTATGGTTGGGCTCTATCCTGCATTCATCAGACTATTGCATCCAGTATTGGTCACCATATTATAAAAAAAGATGATTCTGGAAAGAGTGCAGAAAAGAGCAACAAAGATGATTAGGGAGCTGGAGGATAAAACATATGAAGAGCGGTTGAAGGAATTGAATATGTCTAGTCTAGTGAAAAGAAGGAGTAACATGATTCTAATATTTGAGGTGCTGCCACAGAGAAGAGGGTGTCAACCTATTTTCCAAAGCACCAAGAGACAAGACAAGAAACAATGGATAAAAATTAATCAAGGAGAAAAGCAACCTTGAACTAAGGAGAAATTTCCTAACAGTGAGAACAATTAACCAGTTGAAGAGGTTGCTTTCATAAGCTGTGGGTGCTCCATCACTGGAGGCTTTTAAGAAGATATTGGACAGTCACAATTTCTTGCTTGAGCAGGAGGTTGGACTGGATTATCTCCAAGGTCCTTCCAACTCTGTTATTTTGTTCAGTTGTAGTTAAGTCATTTTAGGAATGACTTTGAAAGGCTGGAATGTGCACCAAGGAGAGAATGCCAGAGCACAGAAGTAGTATGACAAGTGGAAATCTATGATCTCCAGAAAGGTTAGGATTAGGGTTAGATCAAGAGAGACTCAGTACAGATGAAGTTCAAGGCTCTTGCCAACA